GGGCTTGTCAGCGCCTAGCAACCCACAACCTGGTAAGAGGGTCGAAGTCGAGAGTGCAGGAAACAAATGCTAAATAGACACAAAAAACAGACAATGCAACGCACGTCTGCTCTAAAACGCATAAGGAAAGCTGCTGTAGGACCCTGAAAGCAGTTGTAATAGAAACCAATTATAGAAATAAATGTATATGCGTACCCCTGTCCGTTTCCGGTTCTGCGAGGCCGTTGGAAAGGCACAGCTTTTCTAAAGCGAAAAAGGAGTAAAAGTCGGATGAGGAGAGGTGGAATCGATGGGGAAGTAAACATATCAGGTAATACTATTGAGTCCACGAGACGAAGCTCGCGAAGACGGACCGAGGTAATTAATGCACGGTGCGTCCCAGGCGGATAATGGGACAGCCTTTTGGTTAAGGCTAGTTGTAAAGTGGACGGGATCGTAGGTCTGAAAAGTACGCAGTCACAATCCATACAACGACAAAACCGGCAAGAGGGACCGGACACGGATGCGGGAGACTGTTTACCTATCCAAAGCTTGTTAGCCATAGTGGCGTTGCGATAGAACGAGTGCTGTCTGCCATCCAATAAGGCTTCACCTGCCGCCATCCAGTACTATCTCGAGATCATAAACTGGTGCATTCGAGGGACTGACGGAGACGTCCGCTCTGAAATTAAAGACATGCAGGAAACCATTCCTAGAATGGGCCGTCCCAAAAACTGTTGGCCGGCGTGAGTCAAGGCTTTATTCGTCTTTGGGCGACTCTTGTTGGCTCTGTCTAAAGTGTCAAAGGGTAATTTCTTCCCTATGGATAACAGCACTATCCATCCAGAACGCAGCTCTCCCGCAGATAAGGTTCTTTGTCATATATCAAAGAGCAACAAATTCTAAGCATTTTTTGGACATGTAAAAAAAATAACTGGCAGCTTACCGCGTTCATGGAGTTCTTTGGCGTGGTTGAGTTCACTGAACAGTTGTTCGACTTGCAGCTGCAGCAACTTGTTGTTTTCGTTAACGTGTGCAAACTGCTCGGACAGCTGATCACGTTCGGTGGTGGTTTCCTACAGCAGAATTTGTAATAAGATTTAGTATGGCGGCATGTTTCCTTCTATTCGAAAATACGGAATGTTGCCTTGATAAATTAGGCCTTTACTTCAAAAGTTACAAACCAGATAATTATGGAAGCTTTATGTCTTTATGTTACTAAAATTTCTTGGGCAACATGGGGTGCGCATGCACCCAAAGGATGGGGGACAACACTTAGTGCCCCCAGCATAACCAAGCAAGGACCCCGTAGCCTGACTGCGTTAACTTACACAGATAACAATCTTATTGTCTGTGGGTCTGAAACGACTGCCACGACCAGATGCAATAAAGACGCCTTACCAATAAACACACCAGCCTGCTGTTCAGGCTTGCAAAATGCAGTTTTCTATGCGAATATATTTGCAGATGGCAGATGGATTGGTCGAACGCCTGCCAAAATGGCTATGAAAGGCAGAAGGTAAGGTTTCTGGAACTTTACCTGTTGGTTTCGTATTACACGCACAGGCAACTTTCGCCTGCACCGCTCTGCAGTATTCAGTATGTCGGACCTGCGCAAAAAACTGGGGCATGTAATTAACTAAGC